AAAAAAAAAAAAAAAAAAAAAAAAAAAAATTCAGTGACAGGAGCTCACAATATGAGAATTATGAGAAATAAGGATAGCAGGGTGGGCAGGGAACATATTTGGAGGATTTCGTAAGACAGGGTATTCGCACATTATAACCATATCTAACAGCAACAGGAATCCACTAAAGGATTTTTTTGGGGGGAACCTAGGGTCTTGCCCCGTTGCCCAGGTTGGAGGGCAGTGGTGTGATCATCATTTACTGCAGCCTTGAATTCCTGGGCTTGAGCAATCCTCCCACCTCAGCTTTGTGAGTAGCAGGGATTACAGGTCCATGCCACTGCACTGTGCCAACTTTTAAATATTTTTAGAGATAGGATCTCGCTATATTGGCCAGGTTGGTCTTGAACTCCTGGCCTCAAGTGATCTTCCCATCTAGCCCTCTCAAAATGCTGGGATTACAAGTGTAACCACCAAGCCTGGCTCACTGAAGGATTTTTTGAGTGGGAAAATGGCCTTGGCTTTTAGTATGATCACTTTGGCTGTTCTTTTGAGAATGAACTGGAAGAGAGCAAAACCACAGATTAGGATAGTGATAAGCAGCTGCAAAAATCCAGGTAACAGTGTGTGGTGGCTCACAATATGGTGGCAGTAGCACAGATAGAGAATAGGAGGATGATTAAAAGAGATATATACGTAGTAGAAAGGATAGAATTTGGTGGTTGATTTGGATTTAGAAAGAGATGAGAGGAGTCAAAAATTACTTTAGAGACAAGCATGATGACATGCTTCTGTAGTCCTACCTACTCAGGAGGCTGAGGCAAGCTATCACTTGAGCCCAGGAGTTTGAGGCCAGCCTGGGCAGCACAGTGAGACCCTGTCTCTAAAAAATAAAATTGGCTAGGCGTGGTGGGTCACGCCTGTAATCCCAGCACTTTGGGAGACCAAGGTGGGTGAATCACGATGTCAGGAGATGGAGACCATCCTGGCTAACATGGTGAAACCCTGTCTCTACAAAAAAAAAAAAACAAAAATTGGCTGAGTGCGATGGCTCACACCTGTAATCCCAGCACTTTGGGAGGCTGGGGTGGGTGGATCACGAGGTCAGGAGATCGAGACCAGCCTGACCAACATGATTAAACCCCGTCTCTACTAAAAATACAAACATTAGCCAGGTGTGGTGGCACACGCCTTTAGTTCCAGGTACTTGGGAGGCTGAGGCAGGAGAATAGCTTGAACCCGAGAGGCAGAGGTTCTCAGTGAGTCGAGATTGCATGCCACTGTACTCCAGCCTGGGCGACAGAGCGAGACTCCATCTCAACAAACAAAAACAGAAACTGGCCATGTATGGTGGCGGGCACTTGCAATCCCAGCTACTCAGGAGGCTGAGGCAGGAGAATCACTTGAATCCGAGAGGTAGAAGGTACAGTGAGCCAAGATCATACCACTGCACTTCCAGCCTGGGCAATAGAGCAAAACTCAGTCTTAAAAAAAAAAAAAAAGCCTTGTTAGTTTCTGGCTTGCAAAAATGTGTAGAGTGTAGCACCATTTACTGAGACAGGAAATGTAGAAACAGATTTGAGAGGAAACGAGTTTAGTTTAATGTGCCTACAAGACATAGTAGAGGCTGTTGGATATAGAGAATATAGAATTCAGGAAAAAAAGTTTGAATGTGAGAATCATAAAGGGCAGAAATAAAATTCAGATATGAGGAATTTTAACTATAGGTCATATACAAGCAAAAATTGATTGAACCAGCATATATCATTGCTTAAGATGAGCAAGGCTGTAAGAGGGACAAAGTTTTTTTTTTTTTTTTTTTTTTTTGGAGAAAAAGTCTCCACCCTTGATCTCCCCCCCCCAAACAGTCCTTCCTCCTCAGCTTCCTGAGTAGCTGGGACTATAGGTGTGTGCCACCATACCCAGTTAAATTTTTTTTTTTTTTTTTTTTAGAAATGAGGTCTTACTATGTTGCCCAGTCTGGACACAAAGACTTTTTGGCAAGTTGCAGCACCTGTCCTCAAGGAAAGTGCAGTGCAATTAGGGAGATAAATATCTGTTCAATTAACTACAATACAGGGCATAGTATGTAAACATTAGAAGAGAGGTACTCCAATCTGGGCGACAGAGTGAGACCCTGTCTCAAAAAAAAAAAAAAGGTCCTAGGTGTCAGACAAATGAATTCAGCATTTATTAAACAACTACGGGATATAAGTCATCTTCCTCTTCCCATGCAGCTCAGTTCAGTTACTCCCTCCACAGATACTTGCTAAGTATTTAAAAGGATAGAGAACTTGAGGTGAAATGGCTGGTTGCACAGAAAGTAGATGTGACTCGTAATTTTCAAGAGCTAACTGTTTGGTGTGGAACTGGTAGTGTGCTTCAAAACAGCTCTCCAGAAAAACAGAATACTCTGATTTGTAGTGTTTGTCAATTTCTGGTCTGTTTACGCCCAGCATCCCTGATTTTAAGCTGTCAACTAAGTATCACTAAACTCAGAGTTGAAAACAGATATGTATGCACAATTGGTTTTCAGGAGCTGGTAGAGCTTGCTGCAGAACACCACAGGATGAATCACACGTACTAAGAAAACCTATACTGGCAAGTGACTATTGAGGCATTTCTAGAAGCATTAGAACCTGTGTTAGCCCCTTCTCACACTTCCCATCCTTTTCAGAGGCCCATAATCTTTCGATTGCTCTTAAAATTGCTAGTCAGTATTTTGGCATTCCTTTCATATGGTTGACATCTTTTCAAACCAGATTAAGTTACTGGTGCTTCTTGTTCCTGACAGCAGCCCCAGCTATCTGACTTCATGTGAAAAATGGCTAATGCAGAAGTGAGTGTCCCAGTGGGGGATGTGGTTGTAGTACCCACTGAAGGAAATGAAGGGGAGAACCCTGAAGACACTAAAACTCAAGTGATCTTGCAGTTACAGCCTGTGCAACAAGGGTAAGTGGCCAGAGATTTAGATATTCTGAAATATTTTGGGAAGTTTCAAGGGTGGGGAAAATAAAACTTTATGGTTGCTTAGTACAGTGGAATATTTAACGTCAATCAGAGCTGGCTCAGTTTTCATCTGTATTATGTTTCATACTGTATTATGTGCTGTATTTGTCATTTTAATACTTATTACAGCAGTTACTTGTTTCCTTGTATCTGCTTCTCTTCACCTTGAGCTCCTTGAGGGTAAGTTACATGACTCCCTCATCTTATTTTATTATTATTATTTTTGTTCAGACAGAGTCTTACTCTGTCACCCAGGCTGGAATACAGTGGTAGTGATGCAGTCATACCTTACTGCAACCTCTAATTACTGGGCTCAAAAGATCCTCCTGTTTTAGCCTCCAGAATAGCTGGGAATATAGGCACATGCCACTGCGCCTGACTGATTTTTCTTTCTTTCTTTTTTTTTTTTTTTTTTTAAGATGGGGTTTCCCCATGATGGCCAGGCTGGTCTTGAACTCCTTACGTCAGGTGATCCCACCCACCTCGGCCTCCCAAAGTGTTAGGATTACAGGCGTGAGCCACCACGCCGAGACGATTTTTCTGTTTTTTGTAGAGATAGGGGTCTTGCTTTGTTGTCCAGGTTGACTGATCTTACTTATCTATACTATTTACAGGGCTTCCTTATGTGTTTACCAAAAGACAGTGTAGCTAGAGTCAGAGAACATCAGCTAAGGCAACGACAAAAGTGTTCATGCCATAAATTCTCTGAACCCTTATGGAGGGCAGGGCAAATTATCAAGTTGAGTCTAGCACCTACTACAATACAATGTATTATGAAGGTGTTGGAAAAAGATAAAATTTAAAAAGGAGTCCTATTTTTTTTTTTTTTTTTTTTTTTGAGACGGAGTTTCACTCATGTTACCCAGGCTGGAGTGCAATGGCGTGATCTCGGCTCACCGCAACCTCCGCCTCCTGGGTTCAGGCAATTCTCCTGCCTCAGCCTCCTGAGTAGCTGGGATTACAGGCACGCACCACCATGCCCAGCTAATTTTTTGTATTTTTAGTAGAGACGGGGTTTCCCCGTGTTGACCAGGATGGTCTCGATCTCTTGACCTCGTGATCCACCCGCCTCGGCCTCCCAAAGTGCTGGGATTACAGGCTTGAGCCACCGCGCCCGGCCTTTTTTTTTTTTTTTTAAGACAGAGTCCCGCTCTTATTGCCCAGGCTGGAATGCAATGGCGTGATCTTGGCTCACTGCAACCTCTGCCTTCCCGGGTTTAAGCAATTCTCCTACATCACCCGAGTAACTGGGATTACAGGCGCCCACCACCATGCCTGGCTATTTTTTTTTTTTTTCGTATTTTTAGTGGATATGGGGTTTCACCATGTGTGCTAGGCTGGACTTAAACTTCTGACCTCGTGATTGGCCCCACCTCGGCTTCCCAAAGTGCTGCAATTACAGGTGTGAGCCACTGTGCCCGGCCGAGTCCTTCTTTTCGTTTGTTTCGTTTTTGAGACAGAATCTCACTGTATTGCCCAGGTTAGAGTGTAGTGACATTATTCATACATGAGAATGTATTCTTTTTTTTTTTTTTGAGACGGAGTTTCACTGTTGTTACCCAGGCTGGAGTGCAATGGCGCGATCTCGGCTCACCGCAACCTCCGCCTCCTGGGTTCAGGCAATTCTCCTGCCTCAGCCTCCTGAGTAGCTGGGATTACAGGCACGCGCCACCATGCCCAGCTGATGTTTTGTATTTTTAGTAGAGACGGGGTTTCACATGTTGACCAGGATAGTCTCGATCTCTTGACCTCGTGATCCACCC